CCCCTTAGAAAGTCTTTTAGAAACAACAATTAATCAACTATTGTTTTACAAATGTTCTAAGGGCAGGATGTTCCGCTTCTGTACCTTTTGCTTGCTTTGCTAGTTCTACCCCATAGTGGGGCCTAGAAACTGTTGGCCTCAAAGGTGTATAAAGCATGTTTGTCTTCCCCCAGTTGGGGCTCCAGTCCAATGCTTGGCTCAGGTCCAGGTCGGTAATAAACTCCTGTGTGGATTTAATATCAGTCTCTGGTTGGTTCTCTCTCTCTGGGTGTAACAAATACAGATTAAGGCAATTATGAAATACCATTTTTATTTATTAGATTTGCAAAATATAAAAGTACACTGGTAATATGGTAAGAATATGAATTACTACAGTCCTAGGAATGCAATCTGGCTATATCTTTTAAAATTAAAAATACCTTTGGCTTTAAAATCTCACTCTGAAATCAAACATCAAGAAAATAGTGATGCAGCTATGTAAGTGTATATGTAGAAGAATTTTACTGCAGCTTTGCTTGATTTAAAGGTCAGAGGGGAAGGTGTGTCACTTAGATTTGGGGGCTGGGACCAGTGACAAATCTCACAATGTATTAGTTTCTGAATTGATCCTCTTCATTTATTAGTCAGTTCTTCTTTGCCTCTGCTTGTTTTTATTTTCTTACATTTTTTCAATAGTAATAGGACTATTTTTAAATCTCTCATTTTGATTGTATTTTTATTGCTTTTGCTTTATTTCCAGGGGTTTTTACCCTATATATTTTTGATGTCATATCACTTGATGCATAAAAGGTAATACCTATTATAAATCAACTATTAATTATATGCTCTTTTCAAATTTAATTATTTTTCCTGAATTCCACTTTATCTAAAATAGTAACTATAACTCTCACTTTCTTTTTAGCTTGCATTTGCCCATATTTCTTTGTTTATCTTTTTATTGTTCTGTACTATTTTCCATTCTAAGTTCTAATTAAAGTTTCTCCTAAGACTTTTAAATAATTATTTGTGCATATGAATTGAACAAAATAATGGGTTTTTTGGTGACATTTTCATGCATCTTCTAAGATTTTTAAAGCATTGCTTAAGCTCTAATCCTCTATTTGTCAATTATGGGATTTAAGTTGGGAAATTTGCTTTCTTTATTTAACAGGAATTTAGAAAACTTGCTTCCCCAGCTTTTAACAGGACTTGAAACACTGTAAATCTGTAATTATACAGGAATTTCTTAATAACCTCTGGGGTAGAAGGAGGGTAGGAAATTTGGCTATTTAGCCACATACTCTGTCATTCCAGGGAAAACCATCTCTGCTGCTACTAGTTTCAGGCCTCTCATAGTCAGCAACTGGTCTGATAGAGTCTTAGCTCCACCAAAGGAGCCAGAAAAAGACAAGGCTAAGAGCATGAACTATGGGGTCTCTCCACTAAGGAGACGTTTGTTCCCTAACTTCATCACTAGTGGTCTAGGTTGATTTACTAAATATATTTAGCTTCCTCATCTGGAAAAAAAAAAGAGGGTGTCAATTGCATAATTCCAAACAATGGTTTTAAGGATTAAATTACATGATCCATATACCTGGCACATACTGAGTGCTCATTAAATATTTGGTGCTATAATTATTCTTACCATCATCACCATCATCATCATCATCACCATCATCATTATCATCATCATCATCATCATCATCATCATCATCATCTATGAGAGGGGACTGATGAACTTTCAAGATCATTTCTTTCAGGGCCCCATAGAGTGGCATAACAATGGGTGCTCTTTCCTCTTTTAGAACTTTCTCCTCTGAATTTCCCCACAGACCAAACACAGGCTGGCCCATCATGGGATAATTCCAGATCTATTAAGGAAGGGTGAGTTTACTATCACAGAGTAGAATCTGAGAACGTCTACAGTTTACTCATTCCCCTTATAATATCACATCAGGGTTAAGGCTTTACCTCTTCTAGATAGAGCATGGTCCCTGCAGAACATTCCTCAAATCTCTTCATAGTTCTTCTTCCCACTTTCCTTCTACAGCCACATTTCCTACTTTTCACTTTGGTTTGCTTGGGAAACCCAACCTTGTTCCAGAGGAAATAGAAGTTGTAGTCCCCAAATCTTCAAAATGGAATGTGAGTGTTACCCAGAGACTAATTTGGGCATCCTTGGATCAGACTGTGCTAGCTTCCCAGGTGAGGGAGGCCACTGCTGCTGATCAGTAGATGTCTTAGTTACTTTCTCTTTGCTGGGACAAAATACCTGACACCCACAAGCTGAAGGAGGAAAGGTTTATTTTAGCTCACAGTTTGTAGAGATTTCAGTCCATAGTCATCTGGCTGTAAGACATAGCACAGTGGCAGAGAGGTGTGGCAGAGGAGAAAGAGCTCATGGCATAGCAGGCAGGAGGCAGCAAAACAGAAAGATTTCCTTTCCCTTTTTATTCCATGTAGGCTACAGGCCTATTGGTTGGTACCACCCACACCTAGGGTGGGCCTTCTCATTATCCACACCCAGAACTATGCTAAACAAATCAGTGGTCTAATCCAGTTATCACACCCCAAATCCAGTATCACACACCTGTGATCCAGATACCTCCCAACAGCCCTACCTATAGTGTCTGAGCTTTTGGGGTATATCTAGATATAAGCCATAACAGTAAGGCAGATCATGAGTTTTCTTCTAGGTTAATTTTCCCTCCAAGAGCCATGACTAATTCAGTCTTATAATTTTCAAAGCATCAATTTCACTTGATCATCTGGCTGAGGAGTCTGCAAACTTTTTCTGGGAAGAACCAAACACTAAATATTTTACTCTTTGAGGATCAGGTAGGTAGTCTCTGTTCTAAATCTTTGGCTCTGCTATTTTGCATAAAAGCAGCCGCAACCAATAACTAAATGAATGAGTAAGACTGAGTCCCAATAGTATTCTTTATGGACATGGAAATATGAATTTCATATAATCTTCACATGCCATTAAATAGGATTCTGTGGATTTTCCCACCAACCATTTAAAAGTATAAAAAACATTCTTAGCTTGTGTGTATACCAAAACAGCTGGCAAGGTGGAACTGGTCCTTGAGCAATGGTTCCTTGATGCTGATATAGTTCATCACTAAGAATATTGTTTGTCCTATCTTGTTGGTCCATTTTGGTATTTTACTGGTGGGATTTGCATCTCCTATGATGCAGTGAGCTACATAACCTAGTCTCCCATTCTACCTTCCACGCTTTCTTCCCAATCTTAGCTGTCCTTTATCTAAAGAGCATAAAATCATTTTCCTTTATGTTGTTATTTGTGGTTTGATTTTTACAGAAGCCATAGTACAAAGGGTAATTATGATAAGAATATATTTTTCTAATGATGAGAAATGGAAAAAATGGAAATAAAGTCTTTGTAAATAGGGAAGGGTGGAGGGCGTGAAGGGAGGGCTAGGAATGGGGAAAAAATAAGAACCAAGATGCTTTATATAAAGGTACAATTCCCAATGAGAAATGTAACTGTGCTGTGTACCTACAATGTACCAATAAAAGAATTTAATACAAAAAAAAAAGAATATATTTTTCTCCCACTGACAGCCAGTTGTCCCAGCACTATAGATTGAATGGTACTTTTCTTCACGGGAAATCTGTGATGCTTCTGTGTATGTGTGTTTTTGTGTGTATGATACCTTTAATAAAAATTGTACATTGAGTTGCTATCTATATTAGAATCTGTTTCTAGGCTATTATTTTGTATTAATCAGTCTTATGAATAAATATTTTTTTTCTTTTCCTTTCTTCTTTCTTTCTTTCTTTCTTTCTTTCTTTCTTTCTTTCTTTCTTTCTTTTTTTTTTTGGTATCAGTGATCAAACTCAGGACCTCACACTTACCAGGGAGGCACTGTGCTGCTGAGCTAAATCCCCAGCCCAGTCTTTTAAAATTCTTATTGTTTTATAATATATTTTAGTAGAAAACAGAGCTAGTGTACCCTTTTGTACTTCTAGTTTTCAAAATTGTTTAGGTATAGCCAGGCATGGTGGCACGTGCCTGTAATCCCAGCACTTGGGAGGCTGAGGCAGGAGGTCTGCCATGAGTTAGGGGCCAGCCAAGGCTACATAGTGACTTCAAGGCAGCCTGAACTGCATAATGAGACCCTTGTTTAGGTACTTTTGGCAGCATTCAGCTTGATTCCTCCTATACTAATTCAAATCTACCTTCTCCTCTCATACTGACCACTCAAGGTCCCAATTTCCTTTGCTGCCTGGGCAGACATTAGGTGCAATTCTAGACTATTAATCCAAAGTAAGGTCTACTGGTAAAGTTTCCAGAAAAACCTTTTACTTTACTGATAAAATGTGGGGATAAAAAAATGATCTCAGGGCTGGGGATTTAGCTCAGTGGTGCCACCACCTGCCTCGAAAGCGCAAGGTCCCAAGTTTGATCCCCAGTACCAAAAAAAAAAATTGTCAAAAGTTGATTGGTTGCACAGATGAGGAGAGAGAAATCAATTTGGATGGTGGAGTCTGTTTCCTACTGGAGAGAACAATGGTCACATCTGGGCATAGATACCTGCCTCTGTGGACTCTTTACAAGAGCAATTTCCCCACACAAACCACACGTTTCCCAGGCTTCAGTGTCCACTCATCCCTACTCTCTGAGGATGTCTTTCCCTATCTCTAATTGCCTTAGGTAGGGAACATTCTCTCTCAGTATGCCTGGCTGCCATACTTGGGGTGGGAGATACTTGTGGCTGTAGGAACTGTGCTTGAAGCCAATTGTGTCACCACAGAGCCCTAAGATAGGCCAAGAGTGCAATGACGACATGAATAACAGGTTTCACTAAGCATATGCTTTAAGACTGGAAGGAGGAAGAGGGCCCGCCTGAGCTGGGAGACTGAAAATTTTCATGACAAGAGTGGCTTTTCACCTTTCATTCTTGGAATTGTGACTGAAGTTACACAAAGATTAAGCAAGTTTTTAATCCAAAGCGTAAGTAAAACTGGTTTTTGTGAGGGAGGTGGAAACTGGCTGAGAGGTGTTCTTTGACCACAGATATAGTATTAGGAATTTATGGTGGGCTCCAAGTAGCTACAGTGACTGGTCAAAATGATGAACAAAGTTACTTGTAAGCCACGATTGTGAGTCCCTATCTTGAAAGCCTGGTATGCTGAATTATGTACTTCCTTTCTCGGTCACCATTAACTGAGCCCTCTCTCTTGGGGATTTTTCTGAGGAAACTTAAAAATCATTACTCATTGAGGTCTGGAGGAATAGCCTGATCTCTTCGGTTTAGAATGTTGAGGTTTCAACTGGCTTGGGGGCTAGAAAGCTCTACTCCCAGGCAGGATAATTTGTTGAGTTATTTGTCTTTGTTTCCTTTATACTTTACTCAACATTCCAAGCAGGTGGCCAAGTCTTTCTCCTTCCTTGTTGCAGAACCCAAAGAAGTAGTTGGCAGAGCACCTCCCTTCCTGCCATTTTCCCCCTTGGCCTCAAGGGATTTGAGCATAACGTGCTAGGGAAAGGAGTAAAGTCTTTGATAATGAGAGCTAAGATTGTTCCTGAAAGGGAGAAATGGATATCCTTACTTTTTGTAAATAATGGGGCTCTGTCATCCACCCTCCTTAGAACCTCAGAAAGATGACAGAACTGCTCAGGATGATGACTGCATGTGGAGCTAGGAAGGTCTTCCTGGATTTTTGAGTTCTTGGCTTTCAGCTCTGGTAAAGATTCCCATGGGGACACAAGAACATTCAACTTCAAGGATGTATGCAAGCTTAGCCTACAGGCATCTTGGTGGAATTGTGTAGATAACCATGGAAACCATGTTGGCTCACAGGTCAAACCTGGAAGGGCACCTACTTTTGTGTGAATGATTATGTGTGCATGCGTGTGTGTGTGTGTGTGTGTGTGTGTGTGTGTGTGTGTGGTGCAGGGGATGGAATCCAAGGCCATATTATATATTCAAGGAAGTTTTCTACTATTCAGTTACACTCCCCACCTACATTTTTAAAGTGTGAGAGGAAAAATGCAAGAATGTTTTGTGGCATACAATTATATGAAATTCTATTTCAATATCCATAAATAAAATCTTCTTGGAGCACAGTCAAGCTCATCCATTTACCTATTGTTGATAATTGCTTTCAAGCAACAATGGCAAAGTTGAGTAATTGTAACAGAGACCTCCCTGGCTTACAAAGTTTAAAATATTTACTCTCTGGTTCTTCACACAGAGCATATGCAAAATCACTGAAACTTATACCTGTGACCTTTATGCTGAGTGACCGATAAGGCCTTGGCTTTGCAAAAATTACTTTGTTCCAGATAGTTTTTTTTTCTTCTGAGGGTTCTGGTGAGGACCTGAGAATTAATATCATTCCTGTCCCCTTAGTTTCTGCCCTTACAATTGTATCATAGTCATATGATCACAGCTGTGATAGGAATACCTAAGAGGAGAGGAGGGGAGCATTTCAATGGAATTGGGTGCGGTTATAAATACCAATGGGGAGTGGAGGCCTGCAGAGGTCTCAGACCGAGGAAGATGAGCAGAGTGGACAAAGGCTTCAGTTGCCGCTGCTGCAGGCTGCTGCACAACTCATGTCCACAATCCTCCCTGAGTGCTCTGGCTTCTGGTATCCAGTTACCAGATTTAACAATTTCCTCTCGCTTCTGCTTGGCTCTGACTTTTGTGTAATTTAATTGGAAACAGAGCCAACTCTCACAGAAAGGCTAAACAAATCTACCTCCTGCAGAGGCAGGATAATCTATGATGCACAGATTTATTATTTTTAAAAACAAATATGTTCTGCACACTTACTTTGATCACTTCCTCATCTACTTAGTTGGCTCAGCTCTCTGAGCCTGTTCCATGTAAGGGATGGCATGTCTGTCAGATGGGCTGGGCTGAGAGTTTGGGAGTCATCGATCTTGTGTTCTGGCTCTTGCTCTAGTTCTGCTTTTCTTGCTCATCACTGTCCCTTTTACCCAGTGAAAGACTGAGCCTCAAAAAGAGGCTTTGTTGCCCCTAGGACAGCTGTGAGAAAGTCCCTGAGGGGTAGTACCAGAAGCCAGGCTGGCTATGCACCAATTACTTGTCAAAAACCATTTATGAGAAGTTCTTTTGATGTGAGGAAAGGCTGGTTTGGGGAGGAGGCCAATGTCACCCTTGAACCCCAGCCTGCATCTTCCACCTGACTTTTTTTCTCCCCCACAATCTCCATCAGGGGTCTCCCTGCTCCCAGATTGTGTGGTTGGTGGAGTCCTCCCCCTAGATTCCCAGGGCAGGGGCAGATACACCTTCAGAGGATCTCTGTGCTGGGTCCATCTTCTGCTTCTGAGGGACTGCAGTGTGGTGGTTGTCCTCTCTTCTGCATCGTAATCACTGCTCTATGGAGAACTACCAGCACATTCTTTTCTTCCACAGCCAGAAACAAACATCCCATAGATGAAACCCAAGACAACCTTCTTTAGACCTCATGCCCCTTTTAAGATAAAGTCTCCTCGATAGCTGAAGCTCTTGAGAGTGGTAATTGCTCTCTTACCTCCTAGTCCACCTGCAATCCACAGCAATAGGGTTTCCAGCTAAGGCATCTCGCAACCAGAACTACCTTGGGCAGGTTTCTTTTTCAGTCTTCACCTTGTCTGATCTCTGTTGACTGCTCTTTTCTCCTCCTCCTCCTCCTTTTTTTGTGATACTGGGGATTGAACCCAGGGCCTTCACACTGAGCTACATTCCTAGCCCTTTTTATTTTTTATTTTGAGACTGAGTCTGCTCTCTTCTTGCAGCCTGTTTTCCTTTGGCCTCTGTGACATTACACAGTCCTGGATTTTTCTCTATTTCTCTGATCATTTGTTCTTAGTCTTCTTTATCAACCCTTGCTCTATTCACACTCTTGTGTTACAGTTCCTTTGAGCTCTGTCTCATCCTATACTTGTTCCTCAAGAAACCACATCTAATTCCTTGGCTGTAAATGGAATGAAAGAGCTTATTCATATAGCAAAATGGCCCCATGATAGTACTGAAGCTGTTAGCTCTGGTGTGCAAGGCCAGGTTGGGTCAGTATAGGCCCACGGAAGAAGAAAACTGGACTTTCAACCCAAGGGAATCACTGAGGGAGAAGCCCAATCAAATCTTTTTAGGGAAAACCACTTTTAGGGCCATCTTATAGTCTAGGCTGTGGCTAGAGCAGGACCTCTCAGTCTGATGAGTTAGTCTTGGATCTCATTTATGTGAAACATCAAGAATAAGCAGGGCTGGGGATTTAGCTCAGTGGTTCTGGCGCCTGCCTTGAAAGTGCAAGGTCCCGAGTTCAATCCCTGGTACTTAAAAAAAATTAAAAAAAAAAAGAATAAGCAAATAATGTACCAACAGAAGGCAAGTTAATGGTTGCCAGAGTATAGCAGGGAGGGAGAAATGAAGAATGATTGCTTAACAGGTATGTGATTTTCTTTTGATGAAAATATTCTGCAACTAGACAATGGCATTGAATGCACAATGCCGTGAATGTCCTATGTGTCACTAAGGCTGAAGAAAATCTAGGGTTCATCCTAGAAAAGGAACCACTTCTGAACCAAGCCACCTTGGACAGGGATACATTCAAGGTCAGCATGATGAATAGGTAAGGAACTGTAACCGGGAAAAGACTGTAATCTGGGAATGCTAGAAAATCACCCTTTCCTTGAACACAGTGGACAGAATGTGCTATTCTCCAAGAAAACTAGAGGCTTTCTAAACTATATTAATTAACAGTGCTCAGCAGGTAGATAGATGGTGTGACAGTAGAATACTAGGCTAAAGTTGTACTGTGAATTTTTTTCTTTTGAATCGGTACTTCTGTGAGTTTCATGTGGTCAGATTTGATGTTTTGGTGGAGCATTTTCTAGTAGCTTGAATTGAGGCCGGGGAAGCAGGCTGATTCAAATATTTAAGGCCTTAAGCTGGCAGAACTCTGTAACCTTTTGCAGAACTCTAGAACAACCCTTGCTAAGCAAAGTGAATGAACGCTACCTGTGCTTGTCCTTTGCAGATATTGTCTCATTGTATTTCCTAGAACAACCCAGAGAGGTTGTTCCTAGAATAACCCAGAGAGAGACACATTCAAGCTGGGATTTTGTTTTATTTTTATTTATTTTGTAGGTACTGGGGATTGATCCTAGGGCCTTCATACTGAGCTGCGTCCCCGGCCCTTCTTTATTTCCACCATCTGCTAGACCCTATGCGTCTATGTAAACCCTTGAATCAGACCTGGCTGGGGGAGGGAAATGCTGGTGTCTCGGTCGTTGAACTTGTGGCTGCTAAACCTGTATCTGTTGATTGCATTTCTCTTCCTGGGCCTCCTCCAATCTGGTTTAACCACTGGAGTCATGGGCCATGCACTCATCCTATCAAGACCTTGACCTGTCTCTGTCCTGCTGATAACAAAATGTGAGACAACCACACTGCTGAGGGAAACTTCTTGAGTTTTCTTGCTTGTCAATTTCCCCCTCCCTTCATTTCCTGAGATGTAAACAGGCAGAATAGGAGCAGGTAATGAGTGTGTATGATAACCAGAGAATTCTGCTGTTCTCAGCATATCCTGTTATTGTGGATCTCAAGTCCTAGTTTGTCCAGTTTTCCTGAGACTGTGGTTAAGGGAGTGATTTGGTGTATAGGAATAAAAATTTTACTTTTCTTCGTTGTAGGAATCAGCACAGCATAGTTGGAAGATCATGAGCCTCGGAATCAGCAATGGATTCAAATTTCACATCTCACAACAAACTCTAGTTTCTCATCTTTACTGGGACAAAAATAAAAATATTGAATTCAGAGTCCTTTTTGAGGCATACATGCAACGAAGGGAAAGGACTCCATATAGTACGGTGCTAAGGGTACACAGGGTGGGATACGTGTGACAAGTTACGAGGAATGTGGCATTTAGTTGGAACAGGAGAAGGAGGGTGCCTTCCTCCTGCTCACTGAGTAAAGCAGAAAAGTTTCAGGACTCTGCTTTCCCCTCCTCTCTTCCAAAGTTGCTGCCCAGCCCCTCCTTGGCACAGTTGCTCTGTAGGCTTTGCCCTGATATTGCCCCAGCTCCCTGCTCCAAGGTAGAGGGTAGGAGGGGCCTGGCTTATGTAAATGAGGCCCAGACTTGGGAGACATGCTGAAACATAAAGTTTTTTGGGGGTACAACTAATATCCTGAATCTGGTCCTTTCCCACCAAAGGGCTGGCTTTCCTTAAACGGCTTTGATCTCTCCTTTCTATATTCGCCTCTACACACATCCATTCCTAACCCTGAGCTTCTAGAAAGTCTGTGGATGGGTCCAGCCCCTCCAGGGGCAGCCTTAGTTCGTCCACAACATTTTGGGATGTGGTTGTCTCAAAAATGCCCACTGGAGCAGCAGTGGGGTGAGGCAACACACTATTCATTGCTTTCACTTACTAACCTGAACACAAGAAAGTCAGTTTAGGGTTAGATCACTGGTTCTCCCTCTCCTTCCTTCTGCATCAGCCACTTGCACAACTATCCCCAGAATCATAATATCAGCTGGCATACATTAAGTGAACAATGGGTTTGTAGTCAACCACAAATCAAACCCAGGGGATTTAACTTTATATTCTAGGCTTTCAGCATTGCACTAAACCAGAATAGAGTGCACAAAAAGATTTTTTTTTTTTGTTAGTACCAGGGATCGAACTCAGGACCTTGGACTTGCGAGACAGGCGTGGTGCCACTGAGCTAAATCCCTGGCTTCTGGTTTTTTGCTGTTGTTGTTGTTCTGGGGATCGAACTTGGGACCTTCCACCATCACTGAGCTAAATCCCCAGCCCCGCACAAAAAGATTTTTAATGAAATGTAAAGGTCTGAATTTTATGTCATGATGCCAATATCAATAGTTACTGGGATTCAATCAGTATCTTTTGAATGAAACTTGTTATTTTTACATTCTATAATCAGAGTTTGTATTGGCACAACCATCTTTGGAAAATGTAATTTGCCCCAAACTATTGGAAGATGTTATAAAAATTAGACTTTTGTATAAAATATTAGAATTTATTCTACCAATGAAAAGAAAGTAAAATGTACTCACAAAATTTCCTTCTTATTTTGGGTTCCACTTGCATCTTCAAAGCACCACCTATCTTAAGGATTGGTGTGGCCTCCAAGTTACATTGTTTATATGTAGAGAAATCAAAAAGATTATGTGAATAACTTAGGCTTTCAAAGTTGCATTTTCTCATAGATGAAGGATGTATTCTAAACTTGAACCTGATATTGAAAAACCCAGAGAAGGAGAAAACTGATTTTGATTTAAGATTCAGAGAGAGAGGCAAAAATCCCTTTGAGTATCCCTATGTTTGAGTGGGGTAGCACAATGAATAAGTGCAACTGTGTAGTTGTTCCTACACTGTCCTAGAGCCTTTCAGGCCTGACCTTCCTGAATATGACTGTCACCATTTCCCAGCTATTACTGCATGGAAGCCTAACAAGAGCACTATTGGTGATACCCATGTGCAACCTACAAACTCTTCTTTTGGCACAGGCTATGCTGTGACATGGAACAGAGGTAGGGTGGGCACTGCCAAATTCCTTCTCCTCACTAAGATGAGTACAACTGAACACATATCCTTGCCCTGTTTACTGGAGAAACAGGGTGGTCACAAATACTGAAAAATGAAACTTACACTATCAGAAAAAAAATCAGTTCTAAACCACAAAAATAATGAAAGTAAATTTGAAAGCATGATATAGCATAGTTGAAAGGAGAATATTATGATTATTGAGCATTTTCTACAGTGTACATTACTTAATTTCATAATAAATTCTGTAAACTGGGTGTTAGTATTATCTTTATTTTTTGGATGGGAAAACTGAGGCTTTGAAAATTGAAATAATTTGTCCACAGCACATATCTGTCAGTGGTGAAGTTGGAATTAAAATCAAGTCTAACTCTAAAATCACAATTTTACCTGCTAAGCAATACTTCTAGGCCCTCTAAGCCTGCTGTTTGTTACTCTTCTGAAGTCTGGTTGAGTTATTATCACCCAACTAGTCACACAAACTCAGAAATCATTGTTGACAAGGTCTTCTTCATCTCTCTCACATCCACTCTTAATTTCACATTCAGGAAGGCTCTGCCACATGCCAGGTAGTACAGATATGATGGCAAAAAAGATGGTAAAGATTCCTGCCCAAGGTAAGCAAGTCAGAGTCTTCTCTGGTGTTCTAAAATTTGGAATCAGACAAAACACATATCACTGTCCTGGTCTGAAGCAGGGAGATGCTAGGCCAGTAAGCCTGGTGCAGCTGTTTCTTGTTGTATGGAGAAATTCAGAGAGAAGTAAGGGGACACTCAGAAAGAATCACAATGACAGGTGGAGAGAGGAGCCCGGCAGTAGGGTCCATGATTCTGTTTTCAGCTGTTCCTAGGCCAGTTGCACCCTCCTCTCACCACAGCTATGTGAGCTTTTGATAATTTCCACTTCCTGTTTAAAATGGTGAGAGTTGTATTTCAGTCACCTGCAACCCAACCTCTGTTGAGTGATACAAACCACAACAAAAAGGCATTTGCTATCTCACCCTAGGATAACCTATTTTTACATGGTGGAACATATTCTCATAGGAGGATTTCTGAGAGTACTTGCCCTGCTGACGAAATCTCTCATTCCAGCCCTGGCCATCAATTCACAGGGAATGACCTAATCTGCCACCCCAGTACTCCTCGGCCGACCTGCCTGGCCATAGTTTACTCATCCACTTCTGGCTCATGTTGAGCCAATCAGAAACCCTGTTCATAGAATTTTACGTTCAGACTACAATTTTATGTGTAGACACAATTTTATGTTTAGACTATTTTTGTTTGGTCTACATGGGAACAATTTCATCAGGGTGGTATAGGAAAAAGTTCTGCAGATCCTGGCTTTTCTTTTCTTTTTTCTTTTCTTTTCTTTTCTTCTTTTCTTCTTTTTTCTGTACTGGAGGCTGAACCCAGGGTCTCACCCATGCTTCCACTCAGGCAAGCACTCTACCACTGAGCTATATCCCTAGCCCTCAACTGTATCTTCAAAGTACAACTCTTCCTTCAATTTCTTGAGCTGCTTTAGCCTTTTTAAGCAAATTTATTCAATCCTTTTTTTCTCCCTTGAGGTGGCCCAGGTCGAAATTAGTTTCTTGGAAAGAAAACAATTTTACTGCCTTTTAATTCTTCCAGATTTTATTTTTATTTTTTCTTTTTCAAATCTTTATTTAAAAAATTCCTTTGAGGGCCAGGGATTTAGCTCAGTGGTTCCAGTGGTTGCCTTGCAAGTGCAAGGACCCGAGTTTGATCCCTGGTACCAATTAAAAAAAAATTCCTTTGTTACAAGTTTAAATTCAAAGTAATACAAGAGGATATTAATAAAGAAAATATTTTTTAAAAATAGCCTTTTATGAAAAATAAAGCAAAAATTCATAATAAATAATTTTAAAATAACATTAGTTAATATACTGTGTGCCATAATCTTAAAAGAATGGCCAAAATGTTAGAGTACAAGTCATAGGCAAAAGAAACTCTTACAAAAAAGATGCCGGAGAGTTAGCTCAGTGGTTCCGCCACCTGCTTTGCAAGTGCAAGGACCTGAGTTTGATCTCCGGTACAAAAAAAAAAAAAAAAAAAAAGGAACAAATAGACAATAGCAATGACCTAAGAGGACCTACCAGTATAAATGAAACAAATTAGCATATATATTGAAATATTTTTGAAACCACAGAATATATAATTTGGGGAATTATTAGAACTTCCAGATTTTAACTTCTTTTAATTCTTCTAGATTTTTCTTTAAGTGTATGTGCAAATATAACACATAATGTAATAATATATGTTATAGAATTGTATTCTATAAGCTGTTTTGTAATATAAGCATTTTTCAAAGATAATAAATACTATTTAATTTTACAATGTAACATTGTGTATATATGCCATTCTTTAATTTCTTATTTTTGCTCATTTTGGGAGTTTAACTTATTTATTATTAAAAAATTCTACTCCTTTCTTAGAATAAATTCCTGAAAGTCACATTGCTAAACAAAGTGAATGTAATTTTAAAGAATTTTAATTCATACTGACTAATTTCTTCAGAAAATTTGTGCCAATTTACATTCTCATCCTTGGTGAAGACACTCATTTTCTTAGAGGTTCAACAACATTTACAATAATTACATTATTTCACATCTTTGTCCATCTGGAAAATAAAATGACATCTTCTGTTTTAATTAACATTTGTTGAATAGCTGCAAAACTAAAATCTTTTTTCACCCTAAATTCATGGCTAAAATTATAAAATTCATGTTTTGTTTGGTCTTCTGTCCATTTTTGTTATTTTTTTCATTTTTAATTTGTAAGATATCTTTATATGTATGTTTTCAAAATATATTTGGTATTTGTGCTACAAATATTTTCACAGATTTTTGTTTGTCTTTAATATTCTTTTTTATTTTGCTTTAGAGAAATGTTTACTTTTATGTAAAATTTAATCTTATTACTCTTTTCCTTATGGTTTCTAACATTTGTTATATTTCTAAAAACTTCACATGTCAAGATTATATGAATGTTCATCTATATTTTACTGTAATTTCTTTTTTACATTTAAGTCTCTATTAAATCTGAGCGCATTTTGGTAAGAATTATCAGTTTCACCCTCCAAATGATTGCTCAATTTATACTTTTTCCCCAAAATGGTTTACCACATCATTTACAGAATAATCTCTCCTTCCTTTTAGTAATACGAAGTTTATCATCATCTTAAGCTGCATTTTACTATCATTTGCTTCAGAAATTTCCAATGCAGCCACCCATTCTGCCACTCAAGACAACTCTTCAGCTCTGCTTTGTATTCCTCCCGAGAGAAACTGCATTTCACAGAGCATTCATGATCAGTTTATTTTCTTAAATATTTGCTACCAGAGAACAGGAGTTCTGTACTGAAGTCCAAACACATCACATACCAGAATACAAGGAAATCAACAACCCTCCATTCTCCCTTTGGCTGAGCTGTCTCCTGAGAGTCTTCATCTGCTCTATGCCTCACCACATGGGTCTGTGCCCTGATAAAGGTTTCAAATATTTATTTCATGACCAAGGTTGGTTCTCTAGCTCTATGCCCCAGTTCAAGCTCATAGCCATTTTTGCCCAAAAGCCTTGGTGGTCAAGAAATCCAGATACTTGAGGGCAAGAGGGAGAGCCTTATGCTGCCCTTACTTGCATCCTTAAGAAATCATTGTCTCTGTGGTTATGCTGGCCTACCTCAGCCATGCCAATTGGACCTTCTGATTCATGTGAAGTCTTCAGCCTACAGCAGCCCACTGGTGCTGTTGGTGTGTCTGTAGAGACAGGGAACACCTGTTGCATTTGAATGCTGAATGTTATGACTGCTCTAGAGCAGATTCAGGGCAGATTTCCAAATAAACAGTGAATCCCCCTTTCCCTGCACTAACATCATATCACATCTTGCTCTTTATTTTCTCCTAACATTTCTGTGAGCTAGGTGATGATGATCTTCAACTTACAAGAAGATTAAAATATCAGTTATACAGCTAAAACATGGAAATGGTACAACTAGATGAGGAGTTTGATTAGCCTGATGCAAAGCCAGTGTTTTTTTTCCCCATGAAACATGCAGCATCTGCTCTTGACTCATTCCATTCCCTTGTTTGCTTTCTCCTACAACAAAATCCTTAGTTCAGTATTTTCCAGGTCAAACTCTGAGCTCCCTGCCTTCCAGTCTCCACCTTGTCCAGGATCATTTTTCTTACAGGACTAAGAATGGGCCTAGAGTTTGCTTGAAAAGAGAAAAGATCACACCACTTGAAAGGAACAGGCATGTGCCCTGAGGTTTGCAGTGTAACCTGAACTTTTTGCATTTGTAGGCAGAGAAAGAGGTCAAACAGCCCTCTCAAGCCAGAAGAGTTGGTCAACGGCCTTGTTCAAAGAGAATTTCTCCACTTTGGGGGTGCTGAAGGGAGGAGGGAAGATTTGGAATGCAACAGGTTAGTAGGAATCTTAGTAGGAGCAAGATGAGATTTCATAGTCATTAGCACACACCATTTATAGCATTTGTTAAAGTTTGCTGGATCTTTGAATCAGTAATTAAATCCTTTTAAAACTCATGATAAATATAATTATTTGTGTTGCCTTATTTTTTTGATTTACCACAGATTTGTTTCTTCAGTTGGTTTTTGTTTTCATAACGAAATAGCTTTTGGATGGATTTATCTGTGTTAGCTAATTTTGATTTCTGATTAATTGGTTTCTACTATGGCTTTATAATTTTAATCTTCTTGATTTTTTCAGAGTGAATTTTGTTTGTATCCTAGTCATTAAAGTTAATATACTATTCTTCCTTATAAAGCATTATTAAATAGCAGTCTTCCATGAGGTTTTATTTTGTTTGTTTTTTTGTTTTTTTGTTTTTTGAGACGGTCTCACTATGTAGTCCAGGCTGGCCTTGAACTCACAGTGACTCTCCTGGCTCAGGCTCCCAGGTGCTGGGATTACAGGCATGCACCACCACACCCCGGCCTTCCATGAGTATTTTTAAGTTGCACTTTATAAATAATTAGCAGTAGTATTTCCATTTTCCCTCCTCACTAATTGCAATCTTATCTTCTATACATGAAATTCTATCCTCACATTGGTTCATTCTGCTGCGCAGAATTTCGATGGAGTTTTTAATCTCCTGGAAATATGTTTGTATCTGTTTCATGGATTCCATTTGTTTCCTATGTTGGGATTCCATCATGTTCCTCTGATCCTCTATTTTTTTAATCTGTGTCCTCTCTAGATTTATTAATCATGTCTTGCACCATGAGCAAAATCTTTGCTGTTATCTGAGTAATTATTTCTGATTTCATTTTTCCCAGATCCTCTTTTGTTGCCAGTTCAGAGAGTCCAGGTGGTTGAGTATCAGATTGTTCCATCTCGTTTCCCTTTGGGGTTGCTGTAGGTGATCCAGAAGTCTGTTTTTGAGACTTGTTTACGTGTCTTCTCATTTCCATGGGAGGAGGTGTTTCTGGTGCCCACTTGGCTCACCTTCTCTGCCCTAGGAGCTTGAGATGGCAGCTGGGGAGCTTCCTTCCCGGTTCTGGGACCGGCTCAGCTTCTCTGCCCTAGGAGCTTGGGATAGCGGTGGGGGAGCTTCCTTCCGGGTGCTGGGACCGGCTGAGCCTCTCTGCCCCAGGAGCCTGGGATGGAGGCGGGGAGCCATATTTCCATTTTTTTAGAGGTGGAAGGCATACACTTTTCTAGTTTCCCATTGATAGAGTATACTTGTGAGGAATATCCATACCTAGGAATTCACCCTCATTCTTCCACCCAATACTTATTTCACCCTAGTAGTTTTGGCAGAGGTATGTATGAGAACCCTAATCAATGGAACTAAAAGTACTGTTTTAGTAATAGCTGAGCCAGTTCATAATCCTGCACAGTGAGAAGCTTCTGGGGAAGGAAGCTACACTGGAGCCCATACCTCAAGCTCAGGTCTAAACAGAGACCTTTGTCTAAATTTCAGGACCATATATTTAGGCATCATGTATGTATAATCAGAGGGTTCAGGCCCAGAGAATTGTCACTATAATCTTGATAGCATGCATATTTTCACATATATAATTATTTCATATAGTTTGTGATCAATCACATTTATATTCCATTTCATTAGTTTCTTCTTCTAATAGCTGAGAAGCTCCAGGAATTACAAGAATACTGGCTGATTTTAACTAGAGCCAAAGAAGATGTGTCACATGATTTGGATATTTTCACATTTATTAGAACTTGTTTATTGCCGAGAATATGGTCTACTTTGGTACATATTCCATTTGCACTTGAAAATGATGTATGTCTACTAGTGAGGTGGAGTATTCTAAGAGCATTAATTAGGATCATTTTATTGTTTGTGTTTAAGTCTTCTACACTTTTACTGATTTTCTACTTACTGGTTTTATTAATTATTGAGAGAGAAAGGTTACAATCTGACTATAAGTATAGATTTATCTATTCATCACTTCAGTTCTACCAGTTTTTGTTTCACGTATTTTGAAGCTTTGCTATTAAGTGCATTACATAAACATTCAAGACTGTTATGTTTTCTTTATAGATTGACCCCTTTACCATTATGAAATGAACCTTTTTATCTCTGGAGATAGTCTTTGCTCTGAAATCTACTTTACTTTATGTTAACATAGCCACTGCAGCTTTTTAAAATTAGGGTTACTGTGGTACATCTTTTTTCCACTCTTTTAGTTTTAACCTATTTGTGTCTTTTTATTTAAAATGAGTTCCTTATAGACAGTATGCATTTGGATCTCACTTTTTTTTTTAAACCCAGTTTGACAATCTCAGACTCTAAATTAGAATATTTAGGGTATGTACATTTAATGTTATCATGGATACATTGAGTTTAAACATATCTTCTTCTTCTTCTTCTTCTTCTTCTTCTTCTTCTTCTTCTTCATCCTCTTCTTCTCCTCCTTCTCCTCCTCCTCCTTCTTCCTCATCCTCTTTTCCTCCTCCTCCTTCTCCTCCTCTCCTCCTCCTTCTCCTCCTCTCCTCCTCCTCCTCCTTCTTCTTCCTGGGATTGAACCCAGGACCTGCATGTGAGAGGCAGACGAGGTGCCACTGTCCTAAA